GTTAATTTCTGAACAAATTGATGCCTTTTTCAATATACCGGCTGCAGGAGAACCACAAGCTCGAGACTACTGTATTCGGTGGCATTACAATGAAAAATGGACTGATCGGGAGCTGTTGCAGCGCTTCATTCTTAGCCATAGTAAAGCGATTACTGATGAAACGATAAAGTGAGTGGCGTGCTTTCGTTTATGCATTTGGCCCTGCTCCAGTCTATGTTTACAGGCTTTCCTTTCTGAGGTTTCTCTACAAATTTCTTGAAGATGATGAATTTATTTTCACTGCGAAAGGTAGGTAGTGAGAAGGCTTAGGGCGAAGGCTTCAGTTTGATCATTTTTTCATTTTTAAGGTTGGGCTGGCAAAGATGATGTGAGCCGCACTATCGAGCGTCTTGAGAGGAGCAACAGAATAATATCAATCTCACAACTGAGGAGTAGTGGAAAATATGAGGAGGTCCGGCTAAGTTTCTGCCTGTGCTTACTTGATAAAGGTATATATTTGATTTCAGGTTATTGCAATAATAACTCGTGACATTGATTTCCATGCTCTCGAAGGTGATGACTTGTTCGAGATGGCAGACTTTTTAATAGAAGCCTACCTCAAAGTCAGAAAATTCGATGAAGCGGCGGTTTTCATGTCCAGGTACTGTACTTTGTAGGGTAAGGGCTATGGTACAGTCTCGTTCGCTGCGGATGAAGGGGCGTGTTAGGAGGATTGGTTTATAGCGGCGTCAAACCTGTTTTACACTAGTTGTCGAAGAAAGCAGGCGACAAGACTATACCATCAGTCGTTTTACACCTATTGTTGTCACTTGTTCCGCCGATGAGTGATGGGGAAGGCGTTTGGCGCGGCGCCAAATGCATCCCGCGTTACACGCCCCTCGTCCGTAGCGAACTATATGTGACACTGTAGGATTGTGTAAGCCGCGGGTCAATCAAAGAATCCGTGAAAAGGAAGCATTCTTGTTGACATGGAAAATAGGAGATTCTGCAAAAAAAGGGGTAACCGTTCATACGTACCAAATCATTTTTGCAGGTTTTTTTTTAGATTTTTGGGCTGATACGTATGCTTTCCTTTTAGCGGATTTTCTGATCCTTCGTGAATCACCCATTCCCGCAATTCTCCTGTTCGGGAAAGGGTTTGTACTGATAAGGAGAAAATCGGTTAGGTGGGGGAGGGGTCATATTCAGCGAAACTTCTCCCCGACGGCAGGATGTGCCACGGTCGGGAGGCGCGAACGCGCGTCTGAGGCTGATTAGTGAGTCGCACTACAGGTAGACCCCAACTTTCTCCGTAAAAGTTAACCATTTCAGAGTGCTTCATTTATTGCTGTCGTACAAGCAGCCTCCCCACGAACAAATCTCTTTGCTACAAAGTAGACTGAGGGATGTTGAATGGGCAAATGTGAAGAAAGAAAATGCAGAACTTATGGGATACTTCTTGTGTCAACTCACTACCATTGACCAGTTTGGTACAGACTGGCTTATGTGGAAGGAACTCTATAGAGTCGCTGAACATATAGGAGGTAAATCGTGAACTGCTTTCTCTGTGGACCGATTTCTAGAAGTCGCGGACTAGAGCTATGTGTTTTTCTTGCAGGAGGCATTTCGGTCGAATATATCCAATCCCTTGACCCTATTACACAAGACGACGCAATGCCAAGTTTGGGATTAGACGTTCTGTTGAAAGCACATGAGAAATTAGGCGAAGCAAAAGTGTGTGGCCGAGATAAGGTATGTTTTCATCTCCTGATGGAAAGGAAGCATCTGTATTGTCAAAAGATAATTTTTCTGAAAAAAAAACCGTAAAAGTAAAAGGAGGTGACGTTGAAATAGCTAGGTTGGAATCTTTTTTGTTTTTGTGCGAGTTTTTCTCATGTATCAACGTCTATCATAGTCCTCTTCTGAATCCTCATGCTCATCTGTTTTCTAGTGCTTGTGGCTCTTCAGTTGGGGTTATTTAATTTGGCATCAGAGGCATAGGTTGGTTTAGGGGTCAGAGCGATTCGGGATCTCAGTGAGGGGAGGGGGTCCCATTTAGCCGTTAGAGGTGTCTTATTTGCCCTAGAAACAACTGTTTTTGGTTCTGACTTCTCTCGATTTCTTTTCTGTCTTATGTGCGCTATACCCCCTCCCTCGTGACGGCGGTTTTTCGTGGAAAACTAAATGACTTTCAGTAAAGTAAATAATAGGGGTTGAGGGAATTGGGGATGATCGAGATATGGGGGTGGGGGTCGTATCAGAGGAGGAACTTTTGGGGGGGGGGTCGACTGGGGTCGTATAGTGTGCAAATCTTCTCTCCAGCAGCAGAACGTTCCTGGGGTAATGGCCTCTTCACACTGCCCAAAGATCAGGTCTTGCATCTTCTTGCGTCCTATTCTGCTTTCCATCCCTCCGGGGAATGATCGCTGCCAGACTTCGCGAATGGGAGCATAAGCCATTCAGTTTTTTTCGCAGGCTTTTTGCCGCAAGGGACTGTAAAGAGACTGTGGGTGTGGCGACTAGGAGAGTAGGAGAAGTGGCGATTGGAAAGATGCGCACATTAGGGGCAGAGTCGATCGATTCCGATTTCCTCGATCCTTTCTCACGCCTTCTACGAGAATGCGTGAGGAAGGAGTACATGGGAATCATTGAATCGCCGATTCTCCTGTTCTGGCGAGTGACAAAGTATGAACGCGGCCTAGCGGTATTGTCTGAGAGGATAAAAACACTGACAGTACATTGGGTTTCCTTCGCAAGTCATCCTATGATGCACGTACATTGCGAGAGAAAAGACGAAAAAGAGGTAGAAAGTTGAGAAAATCCTAGGAGGAATGATAGGTGGGATGGGAGCTGGGAAAGGGGGTAGTACCAGAGGAGAAAATTTTAAGAAGGCGTCGTATTTTGGAAAAGAAAAATTTCCAACGGCAGGACGGACTCTGGGTGGAACACATGACGAGAGCTTGTTTCAAGGCTTTTTTTTCTAGGGTGCCTTCTTGCTTTTCTATATGGAAAATCTACATACGTGTATTTCCAACGAAAAAGTTGTGTCAACGCTGCGCCGAGATGATTTCTACTGGTTGTGGTCAAATGTTTCCGAGGAGATATCCCAATGTCTTTATTGTGTATTTGGGTCAGTCATTCATTTTCAAGTGCTATTTTCCAATTGAATTGCCTATTTTTTCCTACAGGCGATACTCAAAACGTCGCCGAGCAATCGAAGATCACGAATGTTCCGTAAGTCATCGCATTCTCGATAAGCACTCAACAATGGTGATTGAGCTCGCTATGCCACATCCTTTGCCACAGTATGATGACAAGGTATGCCTGAACTGCAGTCCTGCTGACCAGACTTCATAATGAATCATCTAGACGCTGTTTAGGATCGTCTTGGTCACGATGTAGTGGATCTTCTTCTGAACAAGTTCCCATTTATGCTGAAGTATTCTGAAGAAAGGAAGAAAGTTGTAGATGAGTTCACGAAGTGGATGAACCGTGCCGCAACTAACCCTTCAATAGACCGGTAAGCATGCGACGGCTAGGGATAGTACCTCTTGAAAAGGTTTCCTTGGATGGCGGCGTCGCAAAACGGTCTTTACTTGAAAAAGGACTCTTGGCGACGTTCTAGCTTTTTAACACTGCAAACGTTCCGAGCGTTTTGGGCGAAAATGAAAGTAAAGGTTTCGATCAAGAGTTGTGGGAGAAATCAGCGCTTTGAGCATTTTTAGCCGGCGTTTCTCCCAGAACATTAGAACAACGTCTACGCTTTCTGCTCGCCCAGAACGCTGGAGCGTCGACGATATGTATGAACGCAGCCTTAGAGGGCGCCACTAGCATTTTCATTCGTCTCTGTTGCCTACCAGAGCAGTCCTGTAGATCTCAAAGTCTATCTATACTCTGACCGATTACCTCAGTGACCCTATGAGAAACTTTATGCTCCTCGATAGCAACTTTTCTTCGCCATTTGAGTGCTTATTTACAGCTTGAAATGGCCCACAGTGAAGGACGAGTCCTATGTGCAGTCATGTGTTTGGTATCTCATGGCGTTACATCATTACCGCTTGAGCAATTACGATGAAATTGAAACGTACTCCAAGGTAAAGCTATCGCATTTGATCGATAATGCTTGTGACTCGCGTTAGTTGTTGTAGTTATTCCTTACAAGTGGTCATGCTACCATGGAAAGTCGAGTGACAGCTGGAGCTTGGGCTGTCTTGGCGTACACTTCGGTTTATCGTGTGTTTCAGGTAAGTAGGTTCGGTAATGCTAATAAGACCACCTTGAAAAGGCGCTCTCCGAAACAAGGGCTTTGAAAAAAAGCAGTTCGGCTATGGGGAGGGGGAGCATTTTGCACTTTCGCTACTTCTCATCGTCATGTTCCCTGCTGCACAAGAGTTGACTGGTAGTTTCTACAAATATTGCTTGGTATCACTTGATGGCTTCACGAAATTTTACACATTTCCGCTTGTTCGTCTGACACGACAGTGGGAAGTAGCGGAAGTGAAAACTGCATCCCCTCCCAAGCCTAACTGCGCTGGAAGAAAATGTTCTGTATCCAGATGGACGACGATATACTGTACCTGGAGTGGCCATGGCACGTAATGCCATTTCGGATTTCTCTGCTTGTGGATGGAACTATTGGAGTAGTTTATTTCCAGCTGGCTAATACACTTTATCAAATTGCCACACGGTTGTCGCGCTATTTTCTCACGGTTAGTCCAACTAACAGCTTATTAGAAGGCTTGTTTTTTCTGAAGTGGCTCTCCAGCCCCTTATAAACTAGTACTTACCAGGTCCCGTCTGATGATTGGCGACTACGCTATGCAGATTCGTTGCTCCGAACCATTCGCAAGGAATCGGAGGGGTTCTTCGAAGAGGCGCTATCTCGGGTATCTTGCTTACAATGTGCACGAAAGTTATCTTTTGATGTTTGGAAATATTTATTTAAAGGCTGGCCAAACTGAAACTGGCGTTCCATGCGAATTCCAGTGGTTGTGTTACTTCTTCCTAGCAAAACTTCAGGCGAAGCTCGATCCAAATGATGTGATCAAGGTATTATTTGTTTATAGGAAATTCTAAAAAAGTGGTGAGAGGTTTGGGCTATGCTTGTAGAGCACTGGCCCTTCCGTAGCGATTCTATTGTTTTGCTCCCCATCATTGAAGGTTTCCTGGTTGTCCTCTATCATTTATTTCTGCTCGTTATTGCTGCTTCTTCTTCGTTCCGAGGTCGCAGTAGGGTAGTACCTAACGCTCGTCTTCCTACCACTAACAAGGAACTCGACTCCCGACAGTGGGGCGCGAGCACTGCAGGGAGTTGAACCCCTTGTCACTTCATCCTCCGAATTTAACTGGTGCCAGATTCGTTATGGAGGATAAAACACTGCAGTGTGTAATCAGTTATCCCAAATGAGGTCAGCTGACAACTCTCTTCTTAAGCTTGCCCCTTCATTTCAGGTTATTGACGGGATGTTTGAAGCAGCATGCTCATGTGAATTGTCAGAATTTTTCTATCCTATCAAGATCAATGTGAAGAAACAGCAGAATATTGAACCAGTGGAAATTCATTATCAAATTCACGCTATTGTGTGGAAATATCTGTGCAATAAGTGGGTTTACTTAGGACTATCGAATATTTTCTTTGTCTACCTATCTTCCTTATTTAGTCCTTCGCCGCCCTTGCAAACCCTTATCACACTCCTGGCGTACATTAGAGCCATGCAGTATCATAGGGTATGACAATTTCTGGTGGTAAAGTTTTCACGTAGATCTTCTCCAAGCTTTCAATATAATTTTGCTGTTCTAGGTAGTACGCAGCAACTATTCCCTTTTCTGCTGCAGCCCGGAGATTCAGGAAATTGTTGTGCAGATGACCATCGACTGTGTTCGTAATCAGAAAGGTGGTGTGAATGAAACGGTGGGTTCTTGAGCCGCTCGCTCAAAATTTACTGTTTTTCTTCTATGGGGGGTAGTCGGGGTTTACGCAGTCTCGAAGCCCTCGCTAGTGTAGTCTATGCAAGGGGAACGGTAACCCGAGCTCGTTTACGTTTAGCGGAATCGCTAAACAATTTCTTATGGAACGATGGTATGGAACACTGCCTTACTCTTTCTTTCATCCTGAGCGGGCTACTTTTTGTAAGGCTTTTCTCGATTTATCTGAGTGGGATTGATGGAGAATGGGAATGGTGAGGGGAACACTGCATTCGATTACCCTTTTCCCGAACGCCGCCACCCGCCTCCGTGTCGTCAAAGTATTAGAGTGGCCCCAAACTACATATCCTTCATGTATACTTACGGTCAACGGCTTCTACATACTCATCCCCGGTCTGGTCTCCGAACCCACTGAAACCCGCCTTACCTTACCGAGATTCCTGAACGCGATTGTTAGTTGTTATGTCATTCTTGCTTCGCCTAGGGATATGCTCGAAACTTATGAGGTTCAGGTCGACGATATTGTCACCCGAGTGGATTTGATGGAAGAGTTGTGGAATTTATGTCATCGTGGATTCGAGGTTAGTTTCACCGCTAGTGTTTTAGCATTAAGGTTTCGTGAAGGCGCTTTTCTACGCTCGACGTGTGGGCGTGAGCTCACTGTTCTCTCTTCCATATCCCATAGACTCCTTTTTAAATGCTTCATGAAGAAGTAGTAGAGCAACGAAGAAGGCACACACCAGTTGATGAGCCTGGCTTCAGCCTCCGCCGTGGATTGTGCCTCTGCAGTATTGAATAGAAACTGCTAAATAATTAAAACTATCGACTTTTCGGTTCTAATGAATTCATTTAAGTTGGTATGCGAGCGTTTTCCACATATGAAGTCGTACTATCGTCTTGCTGAGATGGAGCTAAGTCGTGGAAACTTGGAAGCTGCTTACGGTCATTTAATGAAGCATGTGTTCAGAAGAAAAAAACGAGATGATTCTCTCTTCGATGTAACTCTTTTTTAGACCCCTGAACTTAATCGATTGCACGAAGTTAGAGTGTTTTCAGAACGTGGTGGAAATTACCTCGCAAGACATAGATCGTTCGGGATCGTTTCCATACCATG